CCCCCCCCAAAAAAAAGGGATGTCGAAAAAAATTTATTCCATGGATTTTTTTGCTTTTTCTGTTAGTTTTCAAGAAATAAAGAAGTTTTATTTATACTTCTATTATTTTTGTTATAATCACGATGAAAATTATTATTGTTCTTATTCTTATTATTGTTATTATATTATCATTATTACCGTTACTGTTACTAGTAGTTTATTAGTAGCATCAGCATCACAGTTGCTGGTATTTGGTGTTGATATTAGTGTTAGTATTATTTGTTGTTGCTGTCGTTGTTTTTGTTATATTTTTGTGCGTTATCTGTAAGGTGTTGTTGCTCGTTGCCGTCAAGCAAGAAAAAAAGTTTGTGGACTAAGTTTTCTCTTATTGATGACTATTTTACATCCTTCTGTTACTATTAACCATAACTTTTTTCCACTTGCTTTATTTCCCTTTTTTTAAATTCCTTCTTCTTATTATTATTATTATTATTATTATTATTATTATTATTATATTATTATTATTATTATTATTATTATTATTATTATTATTTCTATTATTATTATTACTGTTATTATTATTATGTTTATTATTATTTTTTATTATTTTTTATTTTTATTGTTACTATTATTGTTACTAATTTCACTTTTATTTTTTATTCTGCTCTCCGGTTATTGCTTTGCATGGGACGTTGTAAGAAAGGAGCAACGAAAACAACACCATGATGATCACCATCATCACCATTACCAACAACGACAGCCAGTAATAACAGCAGCGAAAAAAAAAAAAAGTATATGAACTGGTTAGCAGTAATTAAGTGGCAACGATTGGATGATTGAAGTAGGGTAAATTATTTTTCGTTTAAAACATTTAACAAAAAAGTTTGAGGATGGAATTAAAGGCTGGTGGTAGGAGGAAATAAAAAGTATGAAAGTTACGGGTGCTGCTGCGGTTGTGGTTGCTGTTGTTGGCGCTGATGATGACGGCTTCTTTAAGGTATTTTTGGTGTTTAGGAAACGTGTCGGTAATGTTGTATGTCCAGCGTCCGTAAAACTCATCGCCTTGAAGTGGTTGGTTAGTTGGTTTCGTTTA